CATCCAAAATTCGGTGTCACATCACGATGAGCATCTAATAAGAGTAAACAACCTCAACTGAATAACAACACTTGTCTAGAACGAAAATACATAGATAGGGAGAGAAAATAAGGGAAAGAGGACAACAAACGGATCAAGTAAAATAGTTCACCACAAAGTCTCCACACTAAACTCCTACTCAGCCAAGTGGGTACCTCTAATACCTGCCTTAGATCCTGCACAAAATGTGCGAAAGTGTAGTATGAATAGAAAATTGCAGTACTCAGTAAGTATCAAGTCTAACCTCGAAGAAATAGTGGAGCGGTCAACATAAACACTTACTAACAGTCTATTAATCAGGTGAAAACATAAATAAGATACGGAATAAAGCATGATATCACCAAATATGCACAAAAGCTAGAAATACCATACATGTAAAATTAGACATACTTTGCAGATAAAGAGATCGAATCAGATATCAAATACTTCAATTCTCACGTAGAAACATGATGTATATCAACCAATAGCGATATAAAAGTTACTACATGAGTCATATCATGCTCAGGATCCTTTCTCAACACCTCACAGCACAAAACTCATGCGCCCCACACATGCCACGTGTCCAAACCAAGCACTAAAATTTTGGGTGCCTACGCTCATAGAGCCCAAAATAACATGAGTAATCACCTAACTTCTGAGGGATAGATCCATATCCAAGCGTTGATCACTTTACAATCAATGATCAATAGTCAAAATCAATATCCGTTTATAGTCCGTAGTGCCAAAATTCTTAACTTTTCACAATAATCAACTCTCCAACTCATGCATATGTGTGTGAAATAATATTAATAAAAGAGCATCGGACATAACAATAAGGATGCAGATAAAAGTTCACATGGCTATGGCTAATCATGTGATTCAATTTATCAAGACGACTCAATGAGCTAGTTCAACGAGCATAAGTCTTAATTTTATTATTTAACATGAGTAAATTAAGTCATATAACCACCAAATCATAAAGCAATTAAGGCAAGTGTATAGCTACAGATTAATAATAAAGCTCAATATGGCAAAATAATTCTCTATACCCAATTCAATAAGTCATAACCTTAAGCATGTTTTTAAGTCATAATTACGAGTTATCACATAGTCATAGAATCAAAAAAATAAGGATAAGTAATTTACACAATCCAAACAAGGCATACTTGATACGATCATAACCTAGCTAGGCATATGTGCTCGTCACCTCGCATATACGTGGCTCCTAAATCAAGTGAAGTAGCAAATAGATCACCTATGGGAAAATTTCCCCTTATAAGGATAGACAAGAGACTTACCTTCGTCCTACCTTCGTCCGGTGAGCTTTACACAATCAACAACTGCCTTCCGTCCAAATTTAACTTTAAACGACTCGAGTTTAGTCAAATATAATTCAATAACGTCAAATAATGCTATAGAAATCAATTCCAAACAACAAAGCTTCAATCCTTTATCAAATCCTCCAAAAGTCAAACAAAATTCAACCCGGACCCACGAATTCAAATATATGATTAGATTACAAAATCGAGTCCAAATTAACCCTAAAATCCCTAAAATACATTCTTTTAAAGTGTAGACAAAAATTTTAAATTTCTTTTTAAAATTCCATGTTCTAAGTTTATGAATCTATGGGAATCAAGATATATAATCAAATTCAAGAATAAAGTATTTAACCTCAAAGTAGTAATAAAAATCTCCTTCAAAATCGTCTCTTTCTGTGCTCCAAAACTTAAAATAATGAAAAATGAGCAAACCCTCAAAATATGTAGTTTGACAGGCAATCTCGCATCTGCGACTAAAATCCTTGCATCTGTAAGGTCGCATTTGCGGCCAAAATCTCGCTTCTACGAGCTGCTTCCCGTCAGCCTGCCCTCGCACCTATGACTCACCTCCCGCTTCTGCGGCATCGCAGGTGCGCGACCAACTCTGCTTTTGCGACTCCACATCAGCGCAGCCGCCTCGCAAATGCGGCCAACCACAGGATTAAAGCCCAAGCGCATGTGCACACAAATTCATCGCAACACACCTTAATAGTAGGTGTGATGTGCACCAGTGCCAACAATGCTAAACCACTCCCAAATGGTCTGAAACCGTCCCTAGACACATACGAGCCTTTCACGATCTCGTCCAACCATACCAACAAGATCCCATACCCAATTCAAACTTATCCAAAGACTCAAAACATCACAAATAACAACAAATCCAAGAATCGAAGATTATTCATCTTTTAACTTTTAAACATTCCAACTTCGCTAAATGCGTCTGAAGTCCGAACCATGCCTAAACATTTCGGATTTCAACAGAACTTTGCACACAAATTCCAATCGACTAACTGAACCAATCCAAGGTCACGAAACAACAGTCGGAATCTGATGACACCAAAGTCAACTTCCGGTCAAACATATGAACTTTTCAATCCTTCAAATTGCCAACTTTCGGCAAACAGAGCCAAAACCTTCTAGGAACTTCCAAATTCGAATCTGAACATACGTCTCTAATCACCATACGAACCTATTAGAACCATCGAATCACCAATCTGAGGTCGTCTACTCAAAAGTCAAACCTAGGTCAACTCTTACAACTTAAGCTTCCAAAATGCGACAAAGTGTTCCAATTCACTTCTGAGCCTTCCCAAAACTAAACAAATTATCCCCGCAAGTCATCAAACATCAAACAAACATACGGCAAGCATAAAATAGGGGAATGGGGTCTTAATACATAAAACAACTGGCCGGGTCGTTACATTCAAGAAGCAAACTTTCTCTCGTTAAAGAACAAAAAAAAACTTTTGACAAAAATTTCAAACTCTTACAACCAACTATCCATTTCGAGAGCTCATGATAAAGATAAATTTTTTCTATGTTGCAGGGCGTTTCTGGGAAGCGTAAGCGACTACTGTGCCCACCATGCGAAATGCCCTATGCTTATTGTGAAGCCAACCAAGGAGTTGATGCAAGTTTAAGTATAAGAAGTTGTTGTAAGTATAGGATGTGCATTGTGCAATAAGGTAAAAAGTAAAGGAAGTGCTTCCTCCCCCTTCTCTCTGTTGTAGAATATGTAGATAGTTCATGTCATAAAAGCTTTTAAAGAATCATTTTTTTGTTCCTATTGTCCTTTAGATTGTTGATGATTATAGAGTCTCTTTTGACGTAAAATACAATGAAGTGAGGTGTACAACACATTAACTCCACTCTCAGGCTGTTATCCACCAGTATATTTGGTACAAGTCCTTTCCGTATTCGTGTCCGTAGGGTTTAATTTTCCTGTGGACTCTCTGTGGAAGAACTGCTATGCATATTAAAGAATTGAGGGAAAATTGCTTCACTAACCACTGACACCTCCAGGCTCCATATCATTTACTAAATATCAAATAAACGAAAGTATTATCAATTTAGTTAATGAACTTGATGTGTGATGCTTTTATCTCCTGCAATTCACTAGAGTTTATCCGAATTTTGAAAGTGCTCACTCTCCCCCACGACAAAGTAATTTAGAAAGGCTTTTACCGAAGATGAAAGTTACCATTGTATGCATAGGCATTAATGAAACTAACTGCATTCCATTTTCTTGACAACCAGATCGGGTGCTCCCGATCTGTTAGGTTTTTCCATTTCTTCTAAACTTTCCCGGTTTTTGGTTCGAGCTATATGAGGCAAAAACTTGTACCACATACAATTTGGAGGCCGAGCCCCAGCGGTGGATCTACGTTGGTGGCAGAGGGGTCACCGGAACCTGTTTGCCTCGACAAATACCATATATATATATNAGTCCAATCCCATCAATAAGGGTGCGGCTTAGGTCAGAAATACCTTTATCGAAGATGAAAGTTACCCTGAAATTAACCGCATCTCATTTTCCTGACGTCTACAGCAGTATTTTGAGTGGACTTGAAGAAGAGAGGATAAAGAAAATAGTACATCTTCCAGGTATATTTACTCCACCCTCAAATTGACTCTCTTTTTTTCTTCTGAAACCTAACTCTTGGAGAAGTCTATAGGAATGTATATTACCGAAGAGTGAAAAAGTAGTTTGCCGCAACAGCAATTTACTCAACACAGCTACTTCAGCTGTAACAATCAAGCAACAAGTTGCCATTATTTTGAACCATCTATATCTAAAAGAAAATCACAAGTCATGCAACCAGTCATAGTTGACTATTTAAACAGGTCATCATGACCAATTGTCATAATATTTGCCTCAGAGATACATTGAAAATCTCCTAATTATGGATTGTTCCTTCTTTTTTTTTGGGTAAATCCCAATTCTGGATTAACGGCGCTCCAAAAAAGAAAGAAAAAAGATAAAAGAAATACATGTTAGAAAAGAGCATCATTCACCAAGTCAGCTGCAGCATACAAACGTCTTTATGCAACTTACGGACAAAGAGGCACTCGTGCTTTCAAAGATGACAAAACAGAGACGAACAAAACAAAGGAAACCAAGAAACAAATATTTAACTATATATTACTACTATAAAAAGACAAAATTTTACAACCCATTGCCAATTGACACAATATTACATACAGCTGGAAGAGGGGACGGGAGAAAAGGATTAACAGATATCACAAATCTAGAATGTGCCGGACTATCAACTATACATTCCCTTCAAAATCTTCTATGCAGGAGAAATAATGCAAAAGACGTGAAAAAGAAAAAAGATTTGAAGGGG